TGGGATTAAAGATGTGTGCCACCACACCCAGCTATATACTGAAATTTTTACAAATGCAGTTTAGACAGTTGGCATTTTGGGGAAAAGAACAACCTGTGAAAGAGATTGCTCAAACAGATCGGCATATACTCGCTTGTTATACTATTCTCCACTTTCTCAAGCTTTCAAAATACACAATAAACTTGTTACTTTTAAGTTCACCGTCAGGCTAGGCTAGAAAGACCTGTCTCAAAAAAACAAAAACAGGCTGGAGAGTTAGCTTAGTCTGTAAACTGTTTGCCACACAAGCATGAGGACCTGATTTCAGTCCCCAACACCCATGTAAAAAGTCATGTGTGGTAGGCCACAACTGAAATCCCAGTGCTGAGGAGGATCCTTGGGACTCTGGCGACAGCCAGCCTACCCAACCAAATAGGCAATCCCAGGCCTAATAAAGACCCTGCCTCTAAACAAGATGGACAGCTCCTGAGGAATGACAGCTGAGGTTGACCTCTGCCCCCCGTACCCCCCACCACACACACACAAGAACAAACAACAAAAAGGAACTGTGCAGCAAAATTCATAAAATCCTTTGTGTTTCATGTAAGGAAAAAATTCTCCACAAATCATTTACTTCTACTAATTGTTTTAAGTCTAGCTCCAACACTGGACTGTAGATCTTTTTATTGTCTACATTACACAAAAATAAGCCAAAAATCCCTGTGAAAAAAGTTATGCCACCCAGGAGAAAATTGCAAAAAACTATACTAACTTAACTGTCATTATACAGGTCAGTCACAATTTTTATGTCTACAATTTCAGAAATTACAATTCCACAATAAATATTAGACTGCACTGTAAGAGAGGACTCTTACACTTCCTACTAAATACCACTTTCTTTGTATGTGTATACATGTTCATATGTACCTGTGTAGGTATACATGTGATGGTTTGAATGAAAATGTGCCCCATAGGCTCTAAGTATTCAGTATTTTGTCCCAAGTTGGTGATGCTCTTTTGGGAGGTCTTGGAAGGTGTGGCCTTGCTCAGGGAAGGAAGAAAACTGGGAGAGTTCTTAAGCCCTGCTGGATTTCCAGCCACTCTTCCTGTGCCTGCCTGAAGCTATGAGCCCCTGCTTTCGGCTCTTGCTCCGACCACCTCCTCCTCACCATGCCTCCCCACCATGATGGACTCTAATCCCTCTGGAAACTGGAACCATAAACTCAAGTAAACTCTTCTTCCTATAAATTCCCTTGGTCACGGTGTTTTGTCTCTACAATAGAAAGTAATTAAAACAGAAACTGGTACCATAGAGTGGGCTATTGCTGTGACAGACCTGACCTAGTTGTTTTGGGGAGGACTGTGGAAGTGTTTGGAACTTTGGGCTGGAAAAGCCATTGAAGTATTTTTGGTCAGTGTTTGTATCTCAGCAATTGAAAGCAGTCTAGAACAGAAATTGGTATCAGAAGTGGATTATTGCTGTGGCAGACCTGACCCAATTGATTTTAGGAGGATTGTGGAAGCATTTGGAACTTTGGGCTGGAAAAGCCATTGACCGTTTACAGTTTAGTGAGCTGTTGCTGTGGAGCTTGGAACAGTTATGCTTAAAGAAGTATAGATAATAGACGCCTGGCTTGTGAAGCTTCAAAGGAAAGTAAAGATTATCAGGGCTGTTTGTATGATATTTTGGTCGGCTGGGGCTGAAGAATCAGCTGTGAATAAGAGACCAGCACCACTGAAGTGAAACCTTTACTTCAGGGACAACTGATGCTGGTTAACTGAAAAATCAGTTATAACAAGAGATCAGCATTATTGTGACAAAATCTGGGAAGTTATTTCCTCAGTGTCAGCACATAAAAGCTGTGGTCCAAAGGGGGCCCAGGCCTCCATCTCAAGCTAGAAGCAGAACTTGGTAATGTGTAAGAACGGTTCTCTTACATGGTTCTGGTGTTGATGGTATGAAGGAGTCATGGAGAGACTCTGAGGCTTTGTACCTTAACAGGCCAGGAAAGCTCATTGGTGAAGGTGCAGCCTCAGTTTCAGTAGATACCCCAGTATATTGAAGAAGCCAGGACCATGGGACGACCACCAAGGGCGGCAGCAGTTGTGGAGTGGAGCTGCCTGAGCCTATGAGATCAGCTGTGTATGCTGTGAACAGCAGAGCCAAAGAATGGAACTACCCAAGCCCTTGGGAGCCCAGAAAATCATGAGTGAATCCCAAATGTCCAGTCTTGAGATACTTTACTAGACTTCGGTGTTGCTTAAGCATGCGGAAATCTTCTCTTTTGAAATAAGACAGTACTTAACTTGTTTTAGATTTTACAGGAGCCCATAGTAAAGAGACTTTTTAAAGAAGCTTTAAACTTTTAAAGTGTTGGAATTTTTTTTTTTTTTTTTGTCTTTTTCAGACAGGGTCTCCCTGTAGCCCCAGCTGGCCTGGCACTCACTATGTAGACCAGGCTGGCCTTGAATTCACAGAGATTCCCCCTGCTTCTGTCTCCTGAGTGCTGGGTTTAAAGGCATGCGCCACCACATGCCCAGCTAAAGTGTTGGAATTTTTCAAAGACTGGGACTTTTAAAGTTGTATGGTTTTATGTGGTAATATTAAGATATTAAGATAAGAAAGGAAAGGATTGTAGTTTAAAGTGATGAGTTTGTGTGTCAAGTTGACAAGGGGTCAATTGTGCTGGATAGCTTTGGTTGTTAACTTGACACACCTGAGTAGAGGATGTATAAAAAAAGCAGGCTTAGCACAGACCAACAAAGCAAGCCAGTAAAGCAGCATTCCTCCATGGTCTGTGCTTCAGCTCCTGCCTCAGGATTCCTGCCCTGAGTTCCTGCCCTGACTTCCTTCCATGATAAACTGTGATCCAAGAGATGTAAGAAAATAAACCCTTTCCTCCCCAAGTTGGTTTTGGTCAGTGTTTTTAATCACAGCAATAGAAAGAAACTGAGACAACACATGAAGGTGTATGGAGGCCAGAGGATGATGTCAGGTGTTTTCCTCAATCACTCTCTACCTTATTTGTATATGTGTATATGTATGTGTAGGGGAGGGAATGCTAATTCATGTGTGTAGATGTCATGTGTGCAAGTGTGGAGGCCAGAGATCGACACTGGGCATCTTCCTCTATCTTATTTTTTGAGACAAGGTCTTTCGCCAAACCTAGAGCTCCCATTTCAGCTAGACTGGCTAACCAGCAAGTCCCTGGGATGCACTGTGTCTGCCACCACCACCTGCCCAGCACTGTAGTTACAGACATGTGCTTTTATGTGACTTTGGGGAATCACAGTTCAGGTGCTCATGCTTGCAAAGCAAGCACTTTACCTACTGAGCGATCTCCCTAGCCCTTCCACCTTTTGCAGGGGAGAGTTAGGGTATCTCACAGAATTGGGCTAGGCTGGCTGGCCAGGGAGCCTCTAGGGATCTTCCTGTCTCTGCCTCCCCAGCACCGGTCTTACAGGCATGCACCCATATGCTAAGTTTTTACAAGGGTGCTGGAGATCTCAACTTGGGTCCTCTTGCTTACACTGCAAACACATTACCTAGTGAGTCATCTCCCTAACTCTGATGCCATCACTTTCTAGTGATTAAAAATATTCACCTGTGTTCCCAAAGGATTTCTGTTTTGCCTTTAGAAGTAGGTTGGGTTGTGGTAAGGTATGAAGATGAAAATAAAGCATCTGAACTCCATCCTCTTATCTTTAAAACATTCCTATAAAGCACTTAAGGCATTAATAAAATCTTACTATCAAAACAATCTTCTAATGATTCTGAATACCTATGAAGTGCAAAGGAAACACATTCTAAATCCGTTTAAAACAATATAACTTGGGACACCAGTCACCAACATTTTTTTTTTTCTTTCTGGAGCTGAGGACCGAACCCAGGGCCTTGCGCTTGCTAGGCAAGTGCTCTACCACTGAGCTAAATCCCCAACCCCAACATTTCTTATTTATAAAATATTTATGTCAGGTGTGGTGGCAAACGCCTGTAGTCCCAGCACTGGGAAGGCAGAGGCTGGCGGATCTCTGTGAGTTCTAGGCCAGCCTGGTCTACATAGTGAGTTCCAGGCCAGCTGGGGCTACACGGAGACCCTTTTTAAAAAAAAAAAAAAAAAAAAAAAAGGCCAAAAAAAAAAGATTACACACATATATATATATATATATATATATATATGTGCCATCCCTTGTTATGACACAAACAAACCAGGTGTTTAATCAAAGTGCTATGTTAGCAATATCTGTGTCTCCTCAAAATTTGTATGTTGAAATCCTAGCTCCCAAAGTGCTGGTATTAGGTGAATACTTTGGGAGGTAATTAGGAGGGCAGGGGCCTCATAAATGGAACTGATGCCCTAAAAAAGTGAGCCCCCCCCCTCCCTCCTTCCATCATGTGAGGGCACATCGAGAAGATGCCATCTATAAATCAGAAAGCAGGCCATCACTAAACACAGAATCAGATAGCATCTTGATCCTGGACTTCCCCACCCAGAACTGTGAGAATGCAATTCCTGTTTATAAGCTTCCCAATCTAAAATATTTTACTATAGCAGCCCAAACAGACTAACACGGAGAATTTGACAAATGCAGCTCAGGGTAACGGGAAAAAGAAGGAAAGGAGCATTTGCTGACGGTTTTCTATGAGCCAGCAGCAGTTCTTTACAGACACCTCATGTACTGTGCTCAGCAAATTCATGAGGCGGACATTACCCCTGTTTTACAAATGAGGAAACCAAGATGCAGAAAACTTTGCCAAAGGACAAGGTGCAACTCTGGCTCTGCCTTTAGAGCTTCTGGATCACATGCGCCCCCCCAACAGATAATTTTCCAAGTCACATTTTAAAAATGGACTTGTATTAACTAAAGATATTTAGCTTTTAGTGGCTATTCAAGTCATTCCAGTCAATATGTGTAAGTCAATCTGCACCCAGTGCATTTGGCAGAAAGTCACAGTTAACAGAAAAAATACTAAGAACAGAGCACCAACACAAGCCAGAGTGGGATAGTGGTTAGCTTACCAGTCTTAAGTCAGAAATCAACAGCAAGTAACCTGGAGAAGTTATCTCTTTGAGCCCCAATTTCCTAATTCATAAACTGTCCACAGCACCTATTCCATTCTTCTCCCATAAGGTGTTGATGAAATCTGTAAGTCATGAAAATACGGGGAATTATCTATTCTGTAAAATTACTCTAGTGAATAGCTGTTTTCATGGAGAATCACTTGACAGAAGAGAAACAGTCCACCAGCTAGAGGAAGTAGCTCTTGGGCAGGCGAAGACTCGCCTCAAAGGGAGCCACTTGTCAGCAGCAGGTGCTGCGTGGAGGAACAGTTTTCTGGCTGCTTTCTAACAAACTCAATGCTCCCTGAGTCTGTACCGCGACAGTAACCTCCCTCCTTGATGCGACTTACAAATCTTGGGTGGAGGGGGGAACTAAAGTGCTAGGAAAGGACACTGAGGCAGGAGGCTCCCAGGTGAGAGGCCTTGGTCACTCTTGAGACCCCCAACATGAGCATCCGTCAAATAGGAACCTCCTTCCATCCGGTTCCCTGATAGCGAGGACTACAGTCGGGAACCCGGAGAAAGCCCTGGAGAGGAGAGATGCTCAAGCCATCAACTGTCAGATGAAGGCAGGAAAGGAAGCTCCTGAGCCCTCTGCAGTGCCGACATTCCAGAAGCCTTGACGAACGCTGCCTGGGCCACCTCGGTGACTGAGCCTCCCACCTAACCCTAGCCGGGCGCCGCGCAGTCCCACGACGACCCTCGCCCACTGGGCCGCAGGGCGGGCTCCCGACTCGCCCCAGCCTCCTCAGCGTACCGCAGCTCCCCTCCCCCAGTGCCCGGCCGCTCCACGCCCAGGTGAGTGAGGCGGTGGAAGTGTTCCGCCGCCATCTTGTCCCCTCGGCCCCACACCAGCAGGCCGGCGCCCCTCCCGGGCCGGCCCGGGTTTAGGCGACGCGCGCCCCTCGCGGACACTCACCCCGGCAGCCCGGCGCACTTTGGGGCGGCTCCCAGCGTCCCGGCGGGAAAGGGGCGGGGCTGCTGGCTGTACCACGTGATACCCTTCGCCAGAGCCGCGCCCCCTCTGCAGGCCCGGGGCCCACGCGCAAGCGCAGCCTGACTCACGCCCGCTCGGCGGTCAGCGCCCTGGGCGTACCCTGCGGGAATCCGGACAAGGGTTTGGCTTCAGGTGCGTGGGTGCCGGCTTCTCCCGAGTGTTTCCCTGCTCGAGCCCACGATCTCGGCCTCTTATGCCTGACTCTCCACAGCCCACAAACTGAGGACCGGCAGGGCCCCTCGGGACGGCGTGTGGGCGTTTCCCGGAAGCACCTGCTGAGTCCCGGGCGCAGCTGAGCCGCCTCCTCACCTTGAGTGCCAGGCTTGGAAGAGCCAAAGACCTGACAAGTTTAATCCTCTGCAAAAACAGCAGTGAGCACGTGCCAACATTTAAATCGCAGTTCTGAACAGAATAGAAGAGACGCTATTCTCTTTATTGTCAAGGCAGTACTTCTGGCCGCCCTCCATCCTCTGATTCTGGGAGTCTAACTTGCCTCACCCTCCCTACTGGAGCCTGTGGGAAATCCTGGGAGCCTCTGCGGTCACCTGACTCCTAGACCAGCGCTGCGAAGGCAGGTGCATCCTGTATGGAGGCTACATTCAGGTCCTCCTCTTGCTTTCTTAGAAAACCCATTCATTCCATTCCCCCGAAAAAAAAAATCCTTGAAAAAAACTGTTCTTGGAGCAGGGTGGAAACACAACAATAAGCATCCTCAAGTAATTTATATAAGAACATAAGCACTACAGTAAACAAAATGATGGGGTGGAGTAGGGAACACTGCAATCTGTTAAGTGATGGACAGGAGCTTATTTCTCTTGGTAATCATCCTTTTTTAATTCCCAAAGCATTTTAACAATCTCAAATCTCTTTCATCTTGAAATCTCCACCTACCAGACTCCAATCGGTTTTACCTTCTAGCCTACCTACCCTTTGGCATTTCTCCTATTTACAAGATATGTGCAATACCTCAGTTACTGCACTTTGGTTTCTGCCTGGCAACCTTCAAAATCATTCCTCCCAAAGTCACTAAGGATGGTTCTACGGCAAATCCTGTGGACATTAGCACAACAATCTGCTGTAGTTTGAATTTTTAATGTTTCCCCAAACCCAGATTTTGAAGACTTTGTCCCTAGCCTGTGATGGTGTTACCAGCGTCCTATGCCATCGACCAGACTGTGGAGGTCCCAACAAATCAGGCCAGCAACTTTCCCCAAAACAAAATTGAAAAGGGTAACAGTAAAAAGCAGGAAAGAAGGGTTGGAGAGATGGCTCAGTGGTTAAGAGCACTGGCTTGCTCTTACAGAAGACCCCAGTTCAATTCCCAGCATCCATATGGCCAGCTAACAACTGTTGGTAACTCCAGTTCCAGGGAATCCGACACCCACTTCTGACCATCACTGGCATTGCAAGACACAGGTGCACTTACACACATGCAGGCATACACCCATACATATAAAAAATATTTTTAAAAAAGCAGGAATGGAACTGTAATTAGTATACCTAAACCAAGAAGGTAGAGGGAGCTCAGCACTGTCTTCTAAGGCACTGACATTAGGCCTGTTGATCATTATTGCTCAGGAAGGGTTTTGTCCATAAGTTAGTTGTTGTCTGGGGCCTTAGTTTTGATGCTTGTCACAAAATGTTTATCCATGCCAAACCTGCTGTTTCCGGCATCCAAGGTAACTTCAGGAGAGAATTACTTAGAGCAAAGGACATAGATGCAAATAGAACCCCAGATGCCAAATGAGGATCTTGTTTTGAAGAGAAGAGCAACTGCAGCAAACTTCTCAGCTCCCTCTCATAGATCACCACAGGACCCACTCACAGTGCCTCAGCTGGGTTCCACTGAAGTAGCCAGCACGAAGAACCAAGTAGCCGGATGAGGGGTGTGAAGCAGCACATGCTTTCTGCACATGTGCCACCCACCAGGCCAGCCCTCCCTAGCAGAGCTCAGACCTTCCTCCAGCTAGTTGACTCACTAATACTCCCCAGACCACACCCCCCACTCCCCCTCACCCTATACTCCCATTCCCCCACCCCTGAGGTGACTGTCAGGGGTGCAGGTCATACAAGAAAGGTTTGGTCTGCCTCCTGAGGGACTGGGCAGGGACCAAGGTCCATGGCTGTTCCTCCATTCCCTCTGTTGCCTCCCTTTCTTGTATTTTTTACTTCTCCATATATTTTTAGAATTACATACACATGGGGATTTTCTGTTTTTCACTCTTTGACTATACCTGGGTATCCACTCACAATGGATCTCAAACTACCCTGAATGTAGGATTGATTGTCAGGGACATGTATATGAGAACATATTCCAGGCCTCATGTTAAACAGTTACAACTGAGTAAATCTAGGGTAGGGCCCTGGGATTTTGGAACCTCACCCCACCCAGCATCTGTTGATTCACAGAATAAAAGAACCGCACTGGAAAACACCTGTCTTTGAATCTTTATCCTATTAGTATACATTGTGTCATAATATTCTTTTCATTGCACTAATGCTGGTAATCAAGCTGTTCCTCCAACATACCCACAAACAGATGCCTTCTTCCCAAGCTTGGTTGCAGCGGCTGGCCTAGTATCATGAAAGCTAAGCTTGTTGACTATTACACTTCACAAGAAAGGAGGGCCAGGAAGAGTCAGTCATGCCTCCAAACCAACCAAGCAGCACTAGTTGCACGAGGCTGAAGAGCTAAGGGTATACAGGCTGAGGAAGCCGTGGGAAAGTCACCATCCACACCATCCACACATGGATGAAGATTTTCCACTGCAGCCTACTGGTGAGGGGAGCACCCACACTTCTGTAAGTAAACCCTCACCAGTAGCTCTGTAAGTAAGCCCAATAAACTCATTGGTTTCCCAGACTGTAATTTAGTGAAACTGAATCTCAGTTTGTTTTGTCATATGGACCAAGGGAGGAAGGAACCAGAGGTTGTTTGTGCCTTCCAGAAGGAATTTTAGCTACACAAGCACTTACCAACATTTTCTCAGAATCTATAGCCCACAGCCATGTGTACCTACTTGTGCCTGGAGTCCTTACAGACCACTCTACTATAAAATTACTCCAATTATGTTGTTTATATTTTCACAATAGTGAAGACTGTTAATTAAGTAACACTTTAATTCAACTACAGGAAGATACAAAAAGACTGCAAGAGAGAAGTGGTTGTAAACCACTCAGATTCATCTAGAGAAGCTAAGTTTTATTACCACTTGAAACTATCAGCATGCTATATATGTCTATAAATTTGAACCTGCTGTCTGTGACATTTTGCTCCTAAGTGATTACTCCATAATATCTTCATGTTCAATCTTACCACAGGAAAACTAATAACTCGTGTTGATCAATGTGATTCATAACTGAGCTATTACCCCTAATTATCTGGTATATTTATATTTTTTATATTTTTTTATATATTTGTCTGTTGTGATTGTTTGAATAAGAAAGTTCCCCCATAGACTCAATATTTGAGCACTTAGTCCCCAGTTAGTGGTGCTTTCTGGGGAAGTCATGGAATGTTTAGGAAGCAAGGTTGAGCTTTGCTGGAGGAACACTGAGGGGTGGGCTTTGAGAGTTCATAGCCTCACCCCACTTCCAGTTTGTGCTGCTTTGTATTTGCCTTTGGAGATGTGAGCTCTCAGCATTTTGCTCCTGCTGTCCATGACTTCCACCTGCTTCCATGCCTTCCCTGCCACTCTCGGTTCCCTTCCTGGACCTATGAGCAAAAATAAACTCATTCTTCCATTAGTTCCTTTTAATCATGGTGTTTTATCTCAACAACATAAAAGTAAGTAAAACAGAAGGTGGTACCAGAGAGTAAGCAGTTGCTGTGAAGTACCTGACCATGTTGGTGTTGGGGCTTTTTGTTTGTTTTGTTTAGTTTAGCCTTTGAGAAACATGGAAGACTTTGGAATTTTGGATTAGAAAAGCAATTGAATTCTGCAAGAAAGCATTTAATGGACTGTTCTTGCAGAAGCCTGGAAAACAGTCATGCTGAAAATAACATGAACTGTAGAGGCCCAGCTGAAGAGGCTTCACAGGGGAACAAGGTCTCTTTTAGCAACAGGGCTAGAGGCCATTCTTACGATATTGTGACAAAGAATCTGGCTGCCTTCTGCCTTGTCCTAAGAACTTGCCTGAGGCTAAATTAAAAGGTAATGAATGGACTAATTTTTTAGTACAGGAAATTTCAAGAGAGCATAATGTTGAATCTGTGCCTTGGATATTACTGATAATGCTTACACAGTTCTACAATGGAAAACGATCAAGTGTGGAAAGAAATAAGTACAAAATGTACAGTTTGAAGAGGAAAAGATCACTAGGAAGGCTCCAGCTTCAGGGCACACACTCTGCCTATTTTGTTAGGCCCTCACCAGGCTTTCCAGCCCTGTCGTGCCCTTGGTCCCCCTCCTGATCTGCCCGCCAAAGACCTGCCTACTACTCTGGTAAGTCAGACCTGGACCACTGTGGCTTGATTCCACTGCACCCTGAGCAGCTCCATTCTCTCTCCCCATCTCATACTGTCCCCATTCTAGTCTTGGACCTAGGCCTGCTCCTGTTCTTCCCACCTCAGATCTCTGGACTAGCCTCCTAACACAGACCCACACCAGCCTTAGCTCTACGACTCTCTCCTGATCTTCCAGAGACTTCTTCACTAGCCTGCCAGAAACCATCCCCTGGACCCCTATAGCCTTGAATTCTCTTTGCACCACTGGAGAACACTTCACTAATCAACTTGGAACCATCCTATCTCACCAATAAAAAATTAAAAGTGAGACTCTGAAGCACACACTAACTATTTATACCAGAGCAATGTAAATGGAAACAAACTTCAACTAAACAAAGGCAGACTAGAATTTCATATCAGACACACAACCAACAAAAGAAATTCATTTGCCAAAACGA